TTGGAAGAAATACAACCAGAGTGCTCCTTAGAAGGAAGGATGGTGAGACTACATCTTACATACTTTGGCCATGTTATCAGGAGGGATCAGTCCCTGGAGAAGGACATCATGCTTGGTAAAGTAGAGGGTCAACCAAAAAGAGGAAGACCCTCAAAGAGATGGATTGACACAGTGGCTGCAACAGTGGGCTCAAGCATAACAACTATTGTGAGGATGGCACAGGACCGAGCAGTGTTTCATTCTGTTGTACATAGGGTCGCTATGAGTCGGAACCAACTGGACAGCACCTAACAACAACAGCAACAAGGAAGATAGCCACCACCCATCTTTAGGTTTGTCATACTGTTGTGGCTTGCATGTTGCTATGCTGCTAGAAGCTATGTCACTGGTATCTCAAATACCAGCAGGATGACCCATGGTAAACAGGTTTCCATAGAGCTTCCAGACTAAGATAGACTAGGAAGAAAGGTCTGTCAATCTACTTCTAAAAATTAGCCAATAAAAACCCTATAGATCACAACAGAATATTGTCTGATATAGTGCTAGAAGATGAGCCCCCTAGATTGGAAGGCATTCAAAATACACAGTGGATTCAAGTATACTAATGATTGTGAAGATGGTGTAGGACCTGGCAACATTTTGTTCTGTTGTACATGGGGTCACCATGAGTCAGAGCCAACTCGTAGGTACCTAACAACAACCACAGGGGAGATGGAGAGAAATAAGAGTTGTGCTGTGCTATGATGGTAGAACCCACAGGACTGGTTAGTGGATTCTATATGAGGAGTGAAGTCTGGTGTAATCCTACATCTGTTTGGGAGACGTTTCCTTGCTTTTTCTGTTATTGATTTCTACTTTTATGGCTTTATGGTCAGAAAAGATGCTTTGTAATATTATGATGCTTTGGATTCTGTTAAGGCTTGCTTTATGGCCTAATATGTGGCCTATTCTGGAGAATGTTCCATGTGCATTGGAAAAGAAAGTGTACTTGGCCTCTGTTGGCTGGAGTGTTTAGTATATGTCCATGAGATCAAGTTGGTTGATTGTGGCATTTAGATCATCGGTGTCTTTATTGAGCTTCTTTCCGGATGTTCTGTCCTTCACTGAAAGTGATGTGTTGAAGTCTCCTACTATTATTGTGGAGCTATCTCTCTTTTCAGTGCTGTTAGAGTTTGTTTTATGTATTTTGGAGCCCTGTCATTGGGTGCATAAATATTTATTACGGTTATGTCCTCCTGGTGTATTAACCCTTTAATCATTATATAGTGTCCTTCCTTATCCTTTGTGGTGGATTTTACTTTAAGTCTGTTTTGTCAGAGATTAATATTGCCACTCCTGCTCTTTTTTGAGTGTTGTTTGCTTGATATATTTTTTCCATCCTTTGAGTTTTAGTTTGTTTGTATCTTTAAGTCTGAGGTGTGTCTCTTGTAGGCAGCATATAGACGGATCGTGTTTTTTTTAATCCATTCTGCCACTCTCTGTCTCTTTATTGGTGCATTTAGTCCATTTACATTCAGCGTATTTATTGATAGGTATGAGTTTTAGTGCTGTCATTTTGATGTCTTTTTTTGTGTGTTGTTGACAGTTTTTGTGTTCCACTTAATTTTCTGGGCTGAGTCATTTTTATTTATGTATTTTCTTTTCATTTTTTTCATTGTGGTTGATTTTGTATTTACTGAGTCTTTACATTTTTCTTGTTTTTTTTATTTTGATGTGTAGGATTGTTAGTTTCCTTTGTAGTTACCTTAATATTTACCCGTTTTTCTAAGTTTAAACCAATCTTTTATCTCTTTATATCGCCTTGACTTCCTCTCCATATGAAAGATCTATAACTACATTTCTTAGTCCCTCTTTTTTGTTTTAATGTTGTCATCTTTTACAAATTGACATCTCTGTTTCCCCATTTTCAGCGTTTTAGCTCTAATTTATTTTTGTGACTTTCCTATCTGGGTTAATATCTGGTTGCTGTGTCCTGTGTTCTAGTCTTGGAATGTTATCTGATGTTATTGACTTTCTAGCCGGAGGACTCTGTTTGGGAGACTTTTGAACGGTTCCCAAATTACTGGAATATTAAACTTCTGAAACTTCTATAATTAAATAAGTGCTTCCTGTGATTGACGTAAGGGGAATTTCCTGACAGTAGGAATAGATAGAGAAACTTATTTCATGGTGATCTCAACGATTCTCACGGCTTTAAATACTATCTATATGCTAATGACTCTCACATTTATTTCTTCAACTCTTACCTTTTCCCTGAACTTCAGACTCATATACCCAGCTACTCACATCTGATTGAAATATAACATATTCAAAACTAAACTCCTGATCTTTTCTCCTAATCTGAAGCCCCTGTAGTCTTTCCCATCCCAGTTAGGGTAGCTCAGTCTTTCTAGTTGCTTAAGCAGAATCCTTGGAGTCATCATGACTTTCTCTCTCTCCCTCTGTCGTATACTGTGTACAATCCTTCAGGAATCCTGTAGGTTCTACATTCAAAATATATTCAGAATTGATCACTTCCCTCCACTGCCACCACACTTGTCTATGCCCTCATTATCTCTCTTCTGGATTACTGCAAAAGACTGCTAACTGCCCTTCCCACTTCTACCTTGCCCCTACATTCTTTTCTCAGTGTATTAACTAGAGTGATCTTTAGAAAATATATGGTAGGTCCCATAACTTCTCTACACAATGTATTCCAGTGACTCTTTGTTTTCCTTAAAATAAAAGTCAAAGACCCTACATGATCTTGTTCTCTGACCTTAGCTCCTGCTCAGAGTATTAGGAACTACTTTTCTTCCAGGTTCCATGCTAAAAGAAAGTTTATTACAAAACATAGTTAATTCATTCAGTTTTAGTTCTTCCCTTAAACACACACAAATTAAAGAAATAATGATCCTGCATTTTAGCTACAAATATTTCCATAAACAGAGCATGTCCTTTAAAGGTGTTCAAATGACAAATGAGCCAAAATTCAAGGGGTAACCATGATAAGGGGCAGCACATTGGACTTGTATCCCAGAACCTTTGGCCAAAGAAAATGTACATAAAATAATTACAGAGTTTCCTTTCCCCTCTTTTGATCACTCTGTTTATTCCACTTTGTTTAGACTGATTAGTCCATGTGACTCCATCTTGTAGCGTTTCATTTATTGCTGATAATAATTATTAGTTTCTAAATATGAGCCATTGTTTTCTTAGTACTTGGGAAAAAAAGAAAACAGTATTTCAACTGATTATGAGTATGTTGTTTTCCTACTTTTATTATCACTAATATTTCTTATAATTAATTATCCTCCATTCATCCTTTAACTAGTAACTTGTACATCTCACTTGCTGGTTGGAGGGCTGTGATCTTGAGTTGGAGAGCCTGAGAGAATGGCAATAGCCTGGAGCAGGGTGCTTGGAATAATGCCTTAGTGACCACCTTTGTCTTTTCCTTAAAAAAAGGTGTTATTTTACCAGTCTGTAGATAGCCTTAAAAATTGATAGAATGTGGAGGGGAGGAGTGTGCTGTCGCAGAATGGGGTGAGCAGTTGGGATCTCATAACAATGTATGTTAAAAAAAAATTCTGTATGGGAGACTAACTTGAAATGTAAACTTCATTTAATTACAACAATAAAAAAATTTGGTAGAATGTGGTCAAATTCAGAATAGGTGGCATTGAGGTTATACTAAGAAATATTTTATTTTAGATCATTTAGCAATTGTGTTGAAATTATTGTGTCTTAATGGCCAAACTCCATTATGGTTAAGGATGAATTTAAGCCAGTATCCATAATTAGGAAATAGTAGTCAAACAAATTCCTTATTTTTGACCTGTAGTTTTATAGTGCAGGTAATAGTTTGTTTTAAAAATGAAAATAGACTTAATTTTTCTGATTATAAACTTAAAACAATTGTAATGATACTAAAACAAACAAACCCACTGCTGTAGAGTTGATTCCAACTCATAGCAACCCTATAGGACACAGTAGAACTTCCCCATAAGGCTTCCAAGGAGTGACTGGCGGATTTGAACTTCCAGCCTTTTGGTTAGCATCCGTAGCTCTTAACCTCTGCACTACCAGGGGTCCTATAATGATGCAGAAGGGTCTAAAAGAAGAAAGGAAAAATCACAATCTCTCTTCCCAGAGATACCTGCTCTTAATACTTAAGTATATTGCTTGCTAGACTTTTTTTTCTGTGTCTTTTTATGTAAATATAAACCTAAAGAAAAGTGGAATCATAACTCTACATACTATTTTGTAGCCTCCTTTCCACTCAAGAGTATATCATGAACATTTTTCCATGACAGCCAATATAGAGCTAAATAACCCCTTTTAATGGCTAGAAAATAAATGATAAAATTGCCTTTTATTTTAACTATAAATATATTAGTAGACAAAATCAATCTAGTCTTACCTTAAAGATTTAAAAGACATGCAATTTAAGAAATATAAGAATATTTTATTTTACTGATGTATAATATCAACTATATTAAACTAACCAAACCAAAAACCCACTGCTGTCAAGTCGATTCCAATTCATAGTGACCCAATAGCATTTCCAAGGCTGTAAATCTTTATGGAAGCAGACTGCCACATCTTTGTGGTTTCAAACCACTGACCTCTCAGCAGTCGAGTGCTTTAACCACTGCACCATCAGGGCTCCTTTATTAAACTAAAGGGACCCTCAAATAATTCTTAACAAAATATAAAGATGGCCTTTGTTACTGAATAAGCATCTGTTTTTGTGGCAACTACAACCAATATTTATTGAACACCTACTAAGTGCCAGCACTGATCTAGGTGCTTAGGGATACTTTGGTGAATTAGGTGAGTGAGATCTCCCCTCTCAAAGAGTTCACATTCTAGAAGGTACGAAACAGATAATAAACAAATAATAAATAAGAAAGATATCAGCTATTGAAGCAGTACCAGCTATTATGTTTTTTATGGTAAAATTTAAGCTGATATTTTGGTTCTGCAGATTAAGTCAAATCATATAATTATATTTTCAGGTTTGAAGACAGTGAAAAACAAGTAAATTATGATTCATTTTTCTTTGCCCTGAACTGGAGAATTAATCCAATGACCGAATGGGAAACAGTGTTGTACAATACAGAGGTAAAATTAATACCTATTTTAAAAAACAGTTGTGGCTGCCTCCCTTGCATGTTTAACATCCTTTATTTTAAAATTGTTCTTCAATGTAAAATATTAACATCAGTGCTTTTGGAAAGAGTGTTTATGTGGTTCTGGGTATTTGTGCTAAAGGCTAATTTACTTTCCAAACAGAGCAAACATCTGCTCTGTAAGAGCAGGACTTTTCTTATGCAGCTGAATTTTTTTCAACCTTAGTCGCATCCAATTATATAGAAAATAGGTTACAGTTATAAATAGATATAAACACTGACTGTTTTCAAGGGATTCATTATAAGCCACAAGAGCAAATCTGAAATGGTGCATATGTTAAGAATCCCATGTTCCTGTGGCCGTGTACACAGGTTTGCCATGGGTGAAGCAATATAGAATGGGGAAGCACATTTCACAGTGGAGCCAAATGTAAAGTAAAAATTCAGTAGAAAAATGCTTGGTTAGGGGAAACAAAGTTCATGCTATCAGATGGTGCTGTCAACATTGTGGAATTGTCTGAATTCTCTAAGATTTCTTTGGGCCAATTGTCTTTAAGGAGTGGGTGGGTGGGTGGTGGTTTGTTTGTATTTTAACATGCTCCAGAAATTGATTTTCTTGGGAAAGTCCCTTGATAAAGCAAATGTCATGTGGTTGATACTCCGAGAAAGGAGGCATTTATTCCTTTGGGTCTCTGCTGACCAGCCCATTCTGGCCTGAACTGGTCTGGTGCCCCTGGGGAGTTCCCTCAGGCATGCAGCTACTCTGGAGTGTCAGGGGTGGCCTTAGAACTTCCAGATGTTTGGGAGACAGCAGTGGCCTTTGGAGTCAGACAGAACTGGGGTTGAATTCTCGCTCTGCCACTTACTTAGCTAAGTGATTTGGGGTCAGTTATTTAACTTGTTACAATTTACAAATTTAATTCTCAGTCGAAGCATAATCAAATATCCTCTCTCAGCAGGTTCTGGGGTTCAGAGACAAAAATCATTATCACTGCCTTTGAGGGGTCCACTGCTCCTGGGGGAATCAGTATACTCTGATTTGAAGTATGGGGTGATACTTCCTCCATGGGATGCTATGGGATGAAGAAGAAGCTGCTTCTAAATCAGACTGAGGGATCAAAATGTATTCTCAGAGGAGATGACTCTTGAAATTTCAATGGTGAATAGTAAGAGTTAGCAAAATGAGAAAGTGATAGGGTATGGAAAAGATGTTCTCAACAGGGACCCTTGGACATGGGACTGCATGGCATATATGCAGAACAAGAAGGAAATTGGTGTGGCTGGAGTGAAAGGAGTGGAGATGAGGTGGGAGATTCCTGCAAGGGTGAGGTCATGAGAGGCACGCTGTTTGAATATTGCCCCGAACTGTCTAGAGAACACTGACAAAGTTTAAGGAAGAGAGTGACATGATGAGCTGTGCCCTTTAGGAAGCTGCCTCTGACTGGATGATGGGTGGATTGGAGAGGTAGGATGGAGGCAGTCCTATCCATTAAGAGGCTCTTGAAGTCCCATCATCACCGTAATAATATCAAACACTTAAAGTGTTTATTCCTGGGTAGTGCAAACAATGCGCTTGGCTGCTAACCAAAAGGTTGGAGGTTTGAGTTCACCCAGAGTTACCTTGGAAGAAAGGCCTGGCGATATACATCTGAAAAATCAGCCATTGAAAACCCTATGGAGCACAGTTCTACTCTGACACACATGGGGCCACCATGAGTTGGAGTCAACTCAGTGGCAACTGGTGGTGGTGGTGGTAATGTGCCAAGCACTGTTCTAAGGCCTCAAGATCTAGGAGCTCATTTAATCCTCATAGCAGCCCTGTAAGGTAGATGCTTTTTATCATTCCTAATTTAGAGATGAGGATGCTAGAGAAATAGCAAACGTATGGTAGAGTCAGAATTTTAGCACAGTTCTGTTTTACTTCAAAGAATAAAAAGGAAAAAAAAGATATTGGATTTAATTAATCAAAATCCAACATATCTTCACAAAAACAAATCAATACTTTGACTTGCGTAGGTAACCTTTTATTTCTTATCCATGTGACTATTCCATTTTTACCTATGGTAAACTGGTAGATGGGGTTTTACATTCCACCTTTTCATTTGTTATAGTATTTTGTGTTGGATGTTATCCATTTATCCTGTTAGGACTGCTGTCTGTCCCTCTATACCCTGCTCTGAGGCCTGAGCAGCTGGCCTTTGTCGACTGCATCAATGGCTTCTCTTGCCCCTTGGCCTCCAGTTGGGTTGGCCAGTGGGATACACCAGTAGGGAAGTGGGAGGAGAAATAAATCATCTCCCTCCCTGCCAGTCACTGTAGATTGATTCCCTCATCCTACCAATGTCCATAGCTCCTGTCTAGAGGTTCTTTGCATACGGCTGTCCACTCCAGGTTCTGGTAACTATGCCCCTCCCCTTCAGCCCCAGGTAATGTTAAGAGCTCCCTGCTGTTACAAACCCTGGAGGACTGCAGGATCCCCTGTTTGTTTTCCTGAACAGTACCACAACTTTGTAAATAGCCTCTTTATTAAACTCTTCTCAGATTATACTTTGCATATATCCTCTATTTCCCATGGGATCCTGAATGATATGCTTTTTTTTTTGTCAGTTAGCAACAGCCTTTGTTTTTCTTTTCCTTGCTTTTTACTTCTCTCTCTCCTTTTCCATCCCACCCAATCCACCACTCAAAGGTATTCACTATTGATCGGTGTTAACCATCTGGTGTTAACTTTTCTCTATACTCATAGAATCCTGTACAAAGGTATATTTCTCTGTATATTGGGGATTCCACCATTTATGGTACAAAAATGTGATCATACCACATGCATTTTTCTAGAGCACGCTTTTCTTAATAGTACATCATGGAAAATTCTTCCAGTTTAATATATATACACCTAAGTCATTCTTTAATTGCTGTAATATGGATATGTAGTAATTTGTTTATCAGTTTTTCTATTGATAGACATTCAGGTTGTTTCTACATTTTTGTTTCTGAAAACATGTTGCTGTAAATAATTTTATAATTTAATCTTTCTATGCTTTTTTCTGTATAAGAAGATGCTCGAAAGGGGAATTTCTTGTTCAAAGAGTATATATATTTTAAATTCAATAGGTAGTTGCCAATCTCTCTCTCTCAGAAAAAGGCTTCAGCAACTCACATTCCCACAAGTAACATAGGGAATGTCCTTTCCACTACAACTTCACCAGCACTCTTTAATTGCCACTCTTTAATTTTTGCCAAACTGATATGTGAAAAGTGGTATCTTATTACTTTAATTTTCATTTCTCTGATCACTATTGAGTTTGAATGAAATTTTATCACCTTTTTGTACTACCACCCACAGTAAGAAATCTTTTTTTCATAGCAACCCAACATGCACATATATGACAGAACAAAGGTTTCATGAAACAATACTGTTCTAACTACATGTGGTGTAGTATGATCTTTTCTTTTTTCTCTCCCCCCTTTTTCATTCTTTTTCTCTTTTGAGTGTTGTTTGCAACCCACTAAATTGATTGTGTAACCCACTAAGGGATCACCACCCACACTTGAAGAGGGGCCACTGTAGGGGAAGGCAATAGACCTTTTCTCCCTTTAGTCACACCCTCCCCATTTAATCATTTACCAACTTAGTCAACTAGGACAACTACCAAGCCATGGACCTCAGATGCTTCAGAGAAGTAGTGGAGGGAGAAGTTTTGGAGTAATACAGATCTGGGTTCAAATCCTTACCTCTACAATTGACTAACTAGGTGACTTTGTACAAACCACCCAAACTTTCAGGTTTCCCCTTCTCAGAAATGGAGATAATACTTCCATCAGGGTTGTTTTGAGGATCAAGTGAGTCAATACATGTGAGACATCTATCACAATATGTGTTTGGCAGTAAGGGCTTAAATGTTAGTATTGTTTGTAAAATGGAGATCCCTAACTTTCCTCAAGTCAGGGTTCTGGGCCCTGAGCAGTTGCTTCCAAGACTAAGATCAGTGATTTTATCTTTAAAGGTAAAAGTGAGAACAGTTACAGACCAGGAGTGTAACATCAGAAAGAGCCTGTGCTTCAGCAGTAGGCTCTTCCAAAGATTATTTATATAGAGTGAGAAGAACTTTTCTCTCTCACTGTCTTAGGGTTCTCTAGAGAAACAAAGCCAGTAATATGTTATATATATATATATATATATATATATATATATATATAGTGAGAATTGATTTAAAGAATTGGCTCACTTGATTGGGGGAGGAGGGGACTGGCAAGTCCAAAATCCATAGGTCAGGCAACAGACTAAAGATTCCTACAAGCTTGTGTCCCAAAATATGTAGGTCAGGAGCAAAGGAGAGTGAAGAATGAGGGAGTTCTGAAAAGACGTCTATTTATTGTCTGGAGACAGAATACACCATAGGGAAAACTCCCTTTTTGGTCTTAAGACCTTCAGCTGATGGCATGACAGCCACCCACTTTATGGAAGGTAATCTGCTTTAGGTGAGACCAACTGATTTAATGCTAATCACATGTAACTACTTGATAACAGTGGCTAGACTAGTGTTTGACCAAACACCTGGGCAGCATAGCCTAGCCAAGTTGACACATAAAATTAACTGTCACACTTACTGATTCTGCCAACCAAGCCTTAGAAATGTTTCAGACTATTGAGATGCTTGGAAGGGGCCATTCCTTTACAGCCAGTTAAAAAACAAACAAAAATGTAGGTATAAAATTATATCTTATTGGTTTAGCCAAAAATGAGAACCTAACTAGATTCCAAAGAAACTGCAGCACTCTGGTACTCTTAAGTTTCAATAGTGAAAAATATAGTATATACTGAATCATGCAAGTGTGCTTAAACATCAATATTTAATTATTGAGATACTCTGAGTCAGAGTTTGTCATAAATTGGGTTCTCCAGGAAGTAGATGGAGTCTAATGTGCCAGGTGTTTATTAGTGTCCTTGCGATCAACACCTGTGGAAGGGAGAGGAAGGAAGCAAGAGTGGGC